TGTATGGCATTGCGTCATGCATGTAATATTCAATAAATGTCCTAATCTCCCAGTTTAACTTTACTTAAGGATTTTTTAGGTCAAAGTTCACATACAAAGTTAAATTTATCGTTATATCACGTAGAATTGTTTGTAATATTTTGATTTACATTTTTTGTGAAATAGATATTTTCATTACTATGTGAATACCCCTAACTGCTTGTCCTTTACTTCGTAAGTGATAAATTATATACGTAATTGAATTATTATACGGTTCACCCCAAGCGTTTATCAAAATAACAGAGGGCGAGGGGGCCACCTGCCTGCCTATCTTATATCTAATATAAACATGGCAATTGTACTCTTAATTGTATGGCAATTGTATACTTAAAAATCGACATTATGTTCCAAAATAATTATATCGGCTGACCTATAAGTACATACACTTTAAATCATTTTAAATATTATTATATATGGGTTTAAACCACAATTATTGCTTGTACTAAGAATTAAATTTAACATTTATTTTGACGTTTCAATTTCAAATATGGAAATTGTTTCCAAAACAAAAACAACAATTTAATTAAAAATCATTAGACTTAATCTATAAAGGTTTATAAAATTGGCGTTGGTTGGTTGCTTATCTGGGTCATATATTTCGAAATTCCAAGTACCAGTTCTTAAAACTTATTATGGAAGGAAAGATAGAAGGAAAAACGGGAATCGGAAGAAAGAAATACTCATGGCTTAAAAACACAAGGAATTGGACAAACCTCGATGCCCATGCACTCATGAGAGCCACACAAGATCGAGAGGAGTATCCCAGAATTGTCGCCCACATTCAATAAGAAGAAGGTAATAACAATTTAGCAGTTGACTTGCTTGGCCTCGATCTAATCTATAAATGTAGTTCTTTGATCTTTCCTGTGTGCTGTTATATTTGTTTTGGAAAGAATATATCGCAGAATCGTTGGTTTTGGACTGAATAGAAAAGGTTGTTTTAAATGTTGTTGCGATGTTGTAATTATTTCTTATCCTTTTTAATTTTTCTAATAAGTCTTTTACATCTGGTATTGTTGTTACGTTCAAATCTCTTCTTGTGAGTATTTCTGGATCGTCTTTGGCGTTTTATTGTTTCCTTTCTTCAATCTTGTGGAATTTATTGTTTGTAAATGACAAATTATTAACTCTCTCTAACTCTAATAACTCTAGATTACTTAAATTTAAAAAATTAAATTGGGAAATATACAGGAGAAAGAATAGAAGGACTATTACAAGGAACTGTTTACAGAACAAAGATCACAATTCATTTTTTTTTTCATCCTTTATTTATTGAAATCTGTTTCTACAAATAAAAAAAAACAATAATCAATATGTTTATCAAGTAATTAACATAGGGGAGAGCTGTCCAGTGACAGAAATCCTTAAGATAAATTTCTAATATATATAAATATTTGAAATATAAATAACAATTTACAAAGACATTTTACTAACATATTAAAAAAAAATAGCAATAGTTAAAATTATAACAACACACACAATTATAAGTTGTAGGTATATGTAGTATCAGTTGTAGCTATAAAATGATATATACGTTTATGTATATAAAGGTATAGAGAGGTCTAGAGGATCACGTCGTTTTAGTCTTCCTCTCCTTGGTCGCTTAAGTAGGTCTTGGGTAGTCTTTGGTAGTCTATTTTTGTAAGTGCCACTGAGTGAGACAACGGTGTCTTTAATATTTTGGATCTGAAGATCTCTGTGTATAACATAATTGGGCACGTACCACGGTGCATTGGTAATATGTCTCAAAACTTTAGATTGGAAACGTTGAAGTTTCAGTAAGTGAGAATTAGATGCTGTACCCCATATCTGTATACCGTAGGTCCAAACTGGCTTTAGAACAGATTTATACAGTAATAATTTATTATGTAGACTTAGTTTGGATTTTTTATTCATGAACCAATACATTTTCCTGTATATTAATCCTAGTTGCAGTCGCTTTGTCCAGATGTGCTTTCCCCAATTTAGTCGGCTGTCAAAATGTATTCCCAAGTATATTATCATCACTTTTTTTGGGTATTATGGTATTGTTTATGCACACAGATGGTACACTCTCTTTGCGTAAAGTAAATGTTATATGTGCTGATTTGCTGCCATTTACTTTAATTCGCCACAGTTTTAACCATTTCTCTAGTTCATTTAAATGAATTTGTAAATTTTGACAGGCTGTAACAGGAACCGAGCTAGAAACCATTATCACAGTATCATCTGCATAGGTAGCGATTGTGCTGTTTACTCTTGTGGGAATATCTGCCGTATAGAGCAAGTATAAAGTTGGTCCCAGTTGGTCATTAGAAGTAATATAAAACATCACGAAATAAATAAAGTGTGTGAAATCAACATTCAGGCAACCTCTATATCTGTAGATCTCAGTAAAGGGCACATAACGATGTCAGTTGCGTATTGTCCCCCTGGTAAAATAATTAAAGAGGACCATTTCTCTAGTTATTTCAAAGGGCTTGGTCATCGCTTTATTGCAGTAGGTGATTTTAACGCAAAACATACAAGATGGTGTTCAAGACTGATAACAACTCGCGGAAGAGAACTTATTAAAAGTTTAACCGAAAATAACTTGACTCCAATTTCTACTGGGCAGCCAACCTACTGGCCTACAGATAGAAATAAAATACCCGATCTCATCGATTTTGGTATCATAAAAGGAATAAGTAACAACTTTTTAGACATTAAACCTTCTTTTGACCTTTCGTCGGACCATTCTCCCATATTTATTGATGTGATGGAACATGTATATAATACAAATAAATACCCCACGTTTTCAAATCATAAAACAAATTGGAGTCTGTTCAGATTTAATATTCAAAACACAATTAAATCTTCCTCTCAAAACAAGTGAAAATATTGAGGAAGCAGTTCATCACCTTACATCAATCATTCAACAGGCAGCTTGGAGAGCAACTCCAGATCTAAATCGGGGTGATAACTGTGAACCATATCCACATCATATAAAAATCTTAATCAACGAAAAGAGAAAACTAAGAAAACAGTGGCAAACTTCCAGATCTCCTGAGAACAAAACTGAACTGAATAGGGCTACTCGTTTGCTTAAAAGAGAATTACACAAATACAAAGATCAGGGCATAAATGAATTTCTTGAAAGTCTTACTGCGACGGATGACACAAACTACTCTATTTGGAAACTCTCTAGGAAACTTAAACATCAGATTAAGCATGACGGTCCCATTAGAAATAAAGACGGTGATTGGGCCAAGGCCGATGAAGATAAAGTACAAGCATTCGCTAATCATCTCAGCCAAGTTTTTCAACCACACTCCAGAACTATCTCAAAGGAAGAAGAAGAATTCATTCACAAGAACTTAGATGCACCCTACCAGATGTCACCTCCTATAGAAAATATCAAAATTAACGAAATAAAAGAGTTAGTTAAACATCTCAATACTAAAAAAGCTCCAGGGTATGATTTAATATCGGGAAAAATCTGCAAAAATTTACCCGAAGAAGGATTTCACTAAAGTTAGGCTATTTTCCGTTTCAATGGAAAATGGCACAAATTATTCTAATACCGAAACCAAATAAAGATCCACAAGAACTATCATCCTATCGTCCAATCAGTTTGCTTCCCATTATCTCTAAGATATTTGAGAGGATACTCCTTCAGAAAATGAATTCTATAATCGACAGACAAAAGTTAATACCTGATTATGAGTTTGGATTCAGGCAACAACATGGAACAATTGAGCAGGTGCATAGAGTTGCCAAAGTAGCAAGAGATGCGATTGAAAAGAAAGAATACTGCACTGCAGCCTTTTTGGATGTCTCACAAGCATTTGATAAAGTATGGCCACAGAATAATAAACATACAGAATACCCACTCTCCACGGAAAATTAAGTACGCGCATCTCCTCCGCGCAGACGTTCCGCCATGTTTTAGGAGGATTTTAAAGAAATTATGTGGTGTGCATGGAAAAATTAACCAGGTTTATTTGACTTACGGCAATCATAGACATACTATACAATTATATTAACATTGTTAAATATAATAACATAAATATAATATAATTAAACATAAATATAAACAATTACATAACCACACAAACCATATGTCTGTGTCCTCCTCAAACATGGCGCGCGTGCTGAAAAACTTCAAAGGCGGCATCTGAGAGTGGCCCTTCTGATTGTTTATTATTCTGTGGTATGGCATGAGGGGCTGCTATCTAAAATAAAAACTCACTTTCCTCATCCTCTGTATGCTCTTCTGAGATCCTATCTTACCAATCGATATTTCCAGGTCAGGTGCAATGAAGCAGTATCAAACATATCTCCAATTCTATCGGGAGTACCTCAGGGTAGTATATTGGGACCAACTTTACAATTCATTGGAAAAGAAAACGGGCGCAGACGAAGCAGATCCCCACAACAAGAAATAGAAATAACAGATAGGTAAATGAGAACGTCCATAAAAGCAATCAAAAATAAGAAGATTATATGGGAAGATACTGCGAGAAAAGATAGAGCAAGCGATAAAAGGCAAAATCAGGAAGGATCAGGCAGGTTTCACGGCAGGAAGATCATGCATAGACCATATATACACACTGGAACAACTGTTGGAAAAGAAAAAAGCAAAAAAATAGAGATATACATTTAGCATTTGTGGACCTGAGAAAATCGTATAACTCTGTACCTAGGTCAAAACTATGGAAGGCAATGTACAAATTAGAAATACAGACGGAACTCATAGAAGCTACAAAAGCTCTGTATAAAGAAAATAAAGTGTCCATTAAAATGGGAACAAGAATCATAGGAGACTTCATCACAACAAAAGGGCTATTATAAATATATGGGATATAAAAACAGCCTAAATTAATCTGCATAAACGAGAATATGAAATTTAACCGAATCACTTTCAATCATTTAAATCCTTTGCGTCACTAAAATTCAGTTAAAAAATTATAAAAAATAAATTATTGATCTCTAAAACTCACCAAGTACTTGATCCAAGTTCAGCACCAATATAATTTCGCTCTTCATAGTTAACATATGATGAAGCTGTTATTAATTTCAATCATTACCTAACTCACCACCTAATTGAAAAGCAACTTCAATACGTGCCTAGTAATAATAAATTGGAGTGACACAAACTTCAAAACTTAAGGAAACTTAAAAAATGCATTTTTAGAAAACTTTTGTTGTGAATACGTCAGTCAACCTACCAATGTCTAGATAATCTGTCAACAACAAATGTCAGTGATAAGTCATTAGAAAAAATAACATTCATAGTAAATTCAACAACATTTAGATTTAGTTTGTACGAGAATATAAAGAAGAAGAAAAAAAAGAGAAAAATCAAAGATAAACAAACTAAAATAAATTATTCAAAATGAAAAAATAATGTATTTGTTATTTTTCATGGCTATTTCCATAATATGAACGTAAATACTTTAACCACGCTATTTTATTTCTCATAAAACAATTATTCCTTATAAAAACCGAAATATTTTAACTTTATTTTTTTTTAAACATATAATCCATATCAACCACGCAGGGTTATTAGTAGAGTAACGTACACAAGAATTCATTTTATTTAGATTAAATAGATGTACATAAACGTAAATCTTTTGAATAAATTATTACATGGTCAGTGTTTATGATTAAAGTGGTTTTGATGTCATCTGAGATTCCATATTTTCTTCTTGTTTCTTCGTGGTACTTTCAGTCAATCAATATGCTTCACCGTCAATGGGAGAGAACAGTTTCTGCAGGATCTTGGAGAAGATTCTTTGTTGATTAAGAATTTATGGGTCAGTACAGTGTGTCCAATTCTTAGTCGGTTAATTATTACTTGGTCCCTTCTATTGGATGAATTATTCAAGATGGTCTTCACAAGGGGATAAATCTCATATAGTTTGGTTCCTGAATCTTTCCAGTAGTCTTGCCATATGTTCATACAGTGGTCTTTAATTAGGTTTTTGAGATCGAAGTATGGGTAATTTCTTGATTTGTGATTTTGAGTTATAAAAACCATTATAATTCAAAATCGATTCACAATAGGTGTAGGGAAGTATTATTAACAAAAAAGTTTCAGGTATACTCCATTCCACGAATATACGACTGTTGTAAATTCGGTTTAAGGTGTCGATTTAAATGGTCCAATTTGCTGAATTGTACAATAGTAAATTCACCACATTTTTAAAATACTGTTAGGACAGATATAAACCTTAGATTTACATATGAACTCATGATATAAATATAGAGTTGATAGTTTATAGAACAGTTGTAATTCAGATTTTGAAGTATATAATTACCATCACTGAGTTTAGTATTGCAAACAAGTTGGTTTTTGAATTAAGTGATTTAAACGAAGTGTAACAATACTTAAGTGATTAAATAGTGTAATTTATTCAGTCAAATATTTAATTAGTATTAAAAAAAATAAAAAAACTTACTTATTCTTTTATTCTCCTAATCTCATACACTTCACTCAAAGCAAACAAATATTTAAAACTAACAATGTGAAATATTAGATTCTTTTGCTGCCATCGTTTTGCCAATTTCTTTTCAATTATCTTAAAAATAGTATATTTCTTTTTATTACAGTTGTAGTAATAAAGTAATAAAATAGTGTAATATTAAAGAAACCTGGCAAGCCTCTTTGGTGTTTAAATTTCACGGAAACCCAAGACCCAACCCAAATGTCTGATGAACACATTTGGCTCATAGACGTCATTGTATTTATTTGTATGAGCGCTTGCGTAAACATTTTTGTGATTTTCGGATTAAATTTCACACTAAATTTTGCGTCTATCTAAACATCTATTAACTGAAATAATTTTAGTTTAGATGCCATACTAACAGTAAATCCTTTTTTTTTTGGAATAATTATTAGACCAATTTACTTTCATACTTCTACTTGCACAGTAAAATATTCATTGTCGCAATAATCTAAAACAGTCGAATATTCGTGAATTAACCTATATATATATATATATATATATATATATATATATATATATATATATATATATATACATATATATATGAACGAATGAAAAGATCTTAGATATAGAATACCGTGAATATTTCTAAAATTTAAAAAAATGTACAAGGTGTCCCATTAAAAAACAAAGTTATAAACAACTTCCGGTATAACCGGAAGTATCTGTTATGCTGCTACTATGAACGGTTGATTCTTGTTAACTACCAATACTTATTAACGATACTTATAAAGAATACTTCATATCCAATGATGTCTGTAAATCATTCATATTGGTAGTTCAGGTCGTCCACATATCTTAAGTAGTCAATTTTGATACAAATCTCAACCACAGTATAGTGCTTAAAAAGAATGTGTTTAGTTCTTCCTTTATTATTAAAGCTAATGGATGTTATAGTGTTAACATAGTCTGTCGCGATTAATACTTTTTTCATCTTATTTGCATTTGCCGCAGTATCTGGAATTCTATGTTTGAGAATCTATGTGCTGTTAATTATTGCCACTTCCACTCCATTTTCAGTTTTAGACGCGTCTGTATAGTACCTATACTGTGTAATCGGAATGGGAGTTAATTAGATATGTGAAGAGTTGTATGATAAGATTAGGGTTGTTGCTATTTTTTGCAATTGCAATAGACTGCAATTGACTGTTGGAATTTTTATAATCCAAGATGAAGATATATTTTTGTATTGATATAAGGGTCGAAATTGCTTCCATCTTAGTAGGTTTATTGCATCATAAATTCTGCGGGAATATGGGAGATTGAACCTTGAAGCGTAATTGGCCATGGATATGTCTAAAATGTTATTTATTGGAATTCTTTTATTTATAGCTATGCTAGAAGGGTAATACGGGTTAATAGCTGCCTACGAAGCTCTAGCGTGAGTTCACCTATTTCAGCTTGTCTGCTATTTATCGTACTTGTACGCTTCAAGTATAATCCTTTTGTTGGTGTTATGTAACGTATCCAAAGCTTTTAACGTTAACGATGACGTCCATATTAGAGCTATGAACACAGATTCCAGTATCGAGTGAACCGAGTCTACTTCCCTCATAGTATGACCAGATTCAAGTATGATCTGCTTAATTGTGACTTTCAATTCTTTGGCCAGATCACTTAAAGCACTGCACAAAACTTTGTTTCGGTTCTTATAATTGCAGCCATCGGATACCAAAACGAACTCTGTATAACTACGCGGACAGTTACGAATGAAGTCCACAATACATGACATAAATTCGTTTAATGATACCTGGCCATCGGCTTCGTGCCATACGTACATGAATTTCATTCTTGATATCAGGTTATATAATGTAAAATTATGCAACTGAAGTTTATACCTACAGTAAGTAAGAGATGCGAGCAGTTTTGTTTCTGGGCAGCAAGTCTTGTTTCTGAAGCAGACTCTTTTGCAACTGCCTTGGCTTCACGGGCTTTATTCTGTATTACAATGTGAAGGTCATACTGGGACTTGCTTGCATTTCCAGTTTCAAACTCAACACACTTGTCGCATCGGTCTTTGAGAGGATGATGTATCTCTGATATTCTGTCTGACTCCAATTACTGGGAGCTGTCTGTAATAGTTCAATCCATCTTTCAACATTTTTACGATTAATTTTTGATTAAGATACAGTATTACTTTCTTCTTCTACAGCTGTCTCTGTTACATCGTTTATGCCTGTAGTGTTTGCTGGTACCGTCCATCGTAAAAATGCATCACTACCAAGATGAAGTGTGTTTAGAAAAAACATTCGATACCAAAGATTCGATTGCATGATGAAGGTGATTTTAAATGGCAATCACGTGAACAGATTTTCTTCGGTTCAACATTGTTTTGATTACTCCTTCTTCTTTGTTTCGGAGAGGGTATGTCAACATTAATTTGTACGAAAACTCTTTTTGCCTCCCAACTTGTTAAATTCCACAACATAATGTTAACTGTTTTCTTTTGTCGTTTGTTATTTGAACACATAAATGAATTCTTTTTGCTTTCTGTTTGACATCGTCATGTTTACATCTTAGCAGTACACCCCTTTCCTGTCTTTCTACTGCCTGAGTTATCTTTCCTTCTTCATTTTTGAATCTTGACTCTTGATCTTGATTGACAGCAGTCATGTCCTAGGGCTAATAGACCGCAGTTGCATTATCAGGCTTGTCGTTAGCTGGTGTGTCTGAGGGCTGATTAATCGAAGTTGTTTCCCCCATGTATATAGAAGCAGAATTTGGACGCGAGTGTACTTGGGCAGAAGTGGTTATGATTGGCATCCAATTTGGATCATTATAGTCATCATCCGAGCTAAAATATTCGTTGTCGGTAGTATGTACTTTCATTCAAAATTTGTTCCATTTCAGCAGAGGTTAGAAAAATAACTCAGTCAAATTCATATTGCAATTAACACAAAAGAATGTATTTTTAATATAAATGTATCTAAAATATAGTTACAGCGGAGAATTTAATAAAGTTAAAATCTGTTAAGTGCACGTAGTCGCTCAACTTTTACAAAGAGCAATTTCGGTTATATACAATTTTAGCACATAGTAGATTTTACCTTACCTAAACAGATAGCAGATTTTAACCAAATGTTTATATCTTGTTTAATTCTATTCATAGCCTATAGCAGATTATACCAATTTATTAAGAATTAAATTTTCAGAATTTCTGTGCTCATAACTCAATTTCACCAAAAAATGTACATAGCAGATTTTACCCGCACAATGACGAAATTCGTTTATTTTTAATGTTCTACGTATTTTCTTTTCATTAATTTAAAAAATATTAAACTTTATTTTTTTGTTTTAAAATAAATTATTAATTTTTAACTTCAGACAGATTGAACTTACCATTCATAGTTATGACGAGATAAAAATTTAGTCAAAATTCACAACTCACCCTGTATATTATTAAACAATTGGAGCAGACATTAGTAATGGTTATTTGTTATTAATCATAAGGGCCTCCATACGAGGTAGGAATATGTACAGCTCCTCATTATTCACCCGGTATGATATAATAAAGCAAACTATTTTGAGCCATTAACATAATTCAATTTCCCTCAGTACGCGCTCTCTCGTAGAACAAAACATTTCGAATTTAACGTTCGTGTTTGATAAAACATCCAGGGAAACGTTGCTAGATGTATACTAAGCCATATTATATTTGGAAAAGCTGATGAGATTACCGCTCCACAAGAATCCCATCTAAAAGTCAAATAGTGTCACTTCTCACTCGACCCTTTGC